AAACAAGGGCAAACACAAGAATTACATCATTCATATTCCAAAGTAATCACTAGATATGTGTGCTTGCAAAAATTTGATTGGCCAATGCAGCACGTAACCAGATGACATTGCCAGATGACCCTACGTTTTTGTGTGGACCCCTGCTGTGCCAACACAGTGATCTCATTAAAATGAATGAAGAGGGGGGTGGGGTATGCAGGAATAATGTCTGAACACAGCCTTAGACTTTTTGACTCTTTCATCACTTTGGTATAAAGACTCACAGAGTAACTGGGAAGATTAACATTGCTGTGTTGCTTGCAGCTGACTGAAACCATGTTACAGCATTTCTGGGCAGTGAAGTTTTTAATATTCCAACACCGCCATTTGGAGCTGCCAGCAGTGCCTAGTGTTGCTTTCTGTTGGGTGTTTGGGGCATTCACTCTTTGTTCTCACCCTCTATTATTGATAAAAGGGTTTGCTTGAATGTTGTTTTCCTCCTCTCTGTTTCTCTGATTTGAGCTCTCATAGCTGGAAAGCCATGGTGGCTGCCGGTGTGCACTGAAACAGTGAAGGTCAGACAGAAAGAAAATCTGCTTCCTCCTGAATCAAGAAACTAAAATGTCCCAAGAGCCATGTTGGGTTTCCACCAGTCATAAATGAAACATACCTAGAATGAATCATTGCTTGAAGAAATGCATGGGATATGGCCGGGGCATGCAGATGGATACCTTGCTTCCGTGCCTGTATTGCAACTTTACAATCACAGTCCTTCCTGACATTTTGGAGAAGACCTCTGATTTACTGTGCACTACTTACTCTTTGCTAGACATAAAGTTTATTTCTGAAGCTTCTCCGCAGCGACTAACACCACAGAGTTGTTTTTAATTGGGCTGAGAATAAAGTATCTGTGCAGCCAAGTGTGGAGGAAAGTGAATTATGGTCTGATGTCAACGGAAAATTTCCAAAATGACATTTTGAAAATGTTGCTGCCTTTTTTTCCTCTTGTTTATCATAATGGGATAATGTCTCTCTGTTTCATCAGCTGTAACCTCTCTCTCTTTTCATTTCCTGTTTTCCGCAATCTCTGGTCATATAGCTCAACTCCTACACTCTACTCAACTCACAGCTTGGACAGTCAGAGGTGAACATGAGAAGAGTTGGGAGATCGTGACGATGACAGTGGTGAGTACAAATAAATATTGATATCAGGGGGAATATGGAAAGAAATAGTCTGATTTATGTTAGAAAAAAGACCACAATGAACAAGAGATGTATATGTTTGAGGTTTCACATTCACACCACAGTCACTCTAAACAGTGCCATTGATTCATTATTCGAAAGGCATTCATCTCTCAGGATGACATGGATTATAATTCTGGGTTTACCCTCAGTGTCCTGCAAAGACCTGAGGTATCCTGTTTTTTTCTCTAACAAAGCCTTGCATTCTTTTATGTATTATTAATACAATAATTGTCCAATGAGTTGTAAATGTCTCAGGGTCCTTGGGAGTTTTCCAAAGGGCATTCATGATGTTGTCAGTGACTAACCCTGTGTGGTGGTATTCACTGTCTCTCTGTGATTTCTTGCCTGCTATGGAGCTGTGAGAGATAAACTTTTGTAGATAAAAGATATGTGCAGCTGGGCATTGATCATGATGCTGCTGCAGGTTGAACACCTAATACCTCCGCCTCATGCCTCTTTTGCAACAATTTATTTTTGAGTGTGCCACAGTGTTTGAGTAGATTTTCAATGATGCTGGGAAAAGAAACTTGGATTAAGTAGGAATCAGATGTCAGGGTTTCCATGAGGCAGCATTTGTACCTGAAAGTCAAACTGAAATTTAAATCAGCATGTCACCATGGTGGTGTTCTCCATTAGGTGTGAGTGTTTTTAGTACTGACCAGCAGTGTCGATACCGTTATTGATTGGAATAACGTGTGTAGCTATGCACTAAAAATAATTTGTTACATAATTACATTCAAAACAGCCTAACAGGCAGGCTTCCTTTACGGTTTGAACCAGTTGGTGGCCAACGTTGTTACCCATTGTTTGCCACCTGTGATTTCAGCTCTCGTGTAGCTCCTCTGTGACAGTATATGTTAACTTGTGCCATGCTTTGAGAATCTGGTCAAAAGTAAAGCAACTTGCAATAACCAAATCTGGACCCATGAAAAAAAGTCTACTATCACTAGTAGAAATTCTGGAGTAATATACTGATGTATAAAATAACAATTTGTCTGATAGTCTAGTCTGTTTTGTTGTTGTTTATTATGTTTTTGTTGTTATTGTTTATTCCCCTTGCACCAAAAAAGCATTTTCAGTTTAAAAATTAAACTTAACTGTTTTAAAGTCATTGAGCTCTAAAAGTCGTTAAAGTTTTCTTTGAATGAGCACAAATTAAAATGTACAAATTTATGAAACAACCTTTAATATAACCTCCCTTTATATGAAAAACATCAAAAAATTAGTGCTTCAAAGGCTATTCTATTACATATAATGAACCATAATTTTCTCTTTTTAAATATGTATTTTTATATTGCTGTGAAAACGTAAAAAAAATGATCTTCACAAGATTCAATTTAAACATATCACGATCACATTATACTGTACCTTTGCCCAATACTCACTTTTACTGAATCGAGCTTAAATGCATCATTACATTATGGAACCTCTGCGAGGCCTAACTGTTAATTCAGGCAATCAGTTGCTAACAGCTAACACTACCTAGTTCTCTTACTGCCAATTTTAGCACGGATTTGTTGTTTACAATGTTGCATTATCAGAGAAACAACAGGGTGTGGCCCTGATGCGTCCATAGTGAGTTCACAACATCTTTCCGTTAGGGATGCACCGAAATAAAAATTTGTGGCCAAAGCCGAATAATATTAAACGCTTGGCCAAATACAGAGTACCGAATACCGAATATTGTTGTTTAGTTTTTCATTAGTTTTGCTGATGAACCCCCTCCAGATTAGTGTTGTCACGGTACCAAAATTGGGACCCACTGTATGATACCAGTGAAAATATCATGGTTCTGAGTAGTATCACGATACCACAGCGAAAATGAGGCAGATGTGCCTTTTGTCATTTATAAAAAGATCACTTTTCTATAATACATCAATGATATTTCAATGGAATAAATTACTTATTGACTTATTCATACTTCAAAAACGGCATCAATGAGTGATGAACATAGGGGGGATCAAAATAAAATAAATAAATAAAATAACAATCAACCAGCCACCCTCCTCCCCTGACAAGACCCTTTATAAGTAACGAACAGTCCCTGAAGTGCGGTGAGGTTTGTGGGCCGTGAAAGGCTCGTTTCTCCTCTGACACGTCACGTACGGTCTGTGTTTGGCTGGCTCGGCTGTTCAGGTACTTCTGGGCAGGCATGACGCCAAGAAGAGGATATTATTGGAGCCGACTTGTCCGTCGCCCGGTAAGCCGATGGCCGCCGTATTTAACAGGAATGCATTACTTACTGTCTGTGTCGTGACCCCCGTTCAACCCACAATCGGTGGGATTCGCCTTTCGTTGCTGCTGCTGGTTGAAATCTGTAGGCTGCTCGCACAGCGTGCTGAATGATTTAAGCCTATTTTGCTCGCTCAAAACAATTTTTAGTCGCAAATGTCGAGTGCCGTGATGGGCGGATCACCACACTGCTGACATTTTACTCCACCCGTCAAGGCACGCTGTTTGATTGCGTTATCAAAACACATCGCTATTATTCGGCCTTGCTTTTAACTTATTCCACCGAATACCGAATATGTGTTTTTTTGCAATATTCGGCCAAATATATTCGGTTACCGAATATTCGGTGCATCTCTACTTTCCGTCCCAAAGGCGTCCCAGTGAAGATCTCTGTTTGTCTCTAACACATTTTCTATTGTCTCCTGGAAGATGTGACACTGTTACTCCCAAACCCTGCTTTACAGCCTGCGCAAAACTGATGTGACACAACAGAAAAACAGTGGCAGCTGCCATCGGTGAATGTCATCTTTTTTTGCTAATATGCCAATGGCAGTCAACAAGGCAAATATCGGCCAGTACTGATGTTCAGCTGATAAATCGGTGTATCCCTAAACACTGCCTGCCAATGACTTATCAGGTATTCAAACAATAAAATAGGATCTACAAAAAATAATAATAACAATAATATGTAGTGACAATGTTAACACCTCTGGCTGAAATATAAACCCAACAATATGATTTGTCCAGCTCTGGAAAATGCCCACCCAGAGGCTCAGGACTTACTGTGTGTCTATGCAGGAGGCAGTCCAACCACATTTCTCAGTTGTCCATCTCTCATCTTGAGGAACAGATATGCCTCTCTCTGTCAATCAATACAGCTGTCTACAAAGTCTGCATAACAGCAGCTGTATTGATTAAAAATAATAAAGTGTATATTTAAGCTTGACATCTACTTTCTTTAGTTTTATGTGCATACAGTGATTGTTGTGCTCTGAGCGCTGCAAAAATGCAGGTGGCTCACAGTCAATATTGAGCCTAAACTCATCCTGTGTGTACAATGAAGTATCACTAAAGCTGCTGCTCTGCTAACGTGCTGCTTACGGAACGCCTCCTGTGTAGACAAGGCATTAAATACTTTTATATGACCAGCAACTGTTTTATCCTTTTTAGAAAAATGCAAAGCCTTATGCCATTATAGTTAACAGTATTTCCTTATGCAAAAGGTGAGGCGAATTCAAATTTCAGTTTGACTTTAAGGTCTGTTGTGTTTTATAATCTTCTTTCTTTTTAATTGAATTTGAATGTCTTTCATAAAATAAAATGGCCTGTAAAACTAACAGTAATTAACTTGGGGTAAATCTTTGAAGCTGAAGCCACCAGGCTTTCACCCGACAATCACAGTGTCTGTACTGTATATAAAAATATAACAATGTTCTCCTGTGCTACTGCTGGTGGTGGGTAGACACGTGGAGTGATGGCGTTTAAAATGATCTATTTTCTTCTTTTTCTGTCAAAGGGTGGATGTATGGGAAAGAGTGACTCACCACGGGTGTTGCTGGAGAGACGTTTGCGTTGGCTGGTGGAGGTATTGTGTGGCAGCAGGGTGTTCTGCTGGTGGTTGCTGTCAATGGGACTCGTGGCAATGATGTTGTCCTTGTATTTGTTCATTAGGGCCAGCTTGGTGTTGTCACTCACTGCAGAGAAGTGGGACATAATTACAAACACTGGGAAATAAAAGCTAGGAGAGGCAGAGGAACCAACTAAAAGCTTTCTCTGTAAAATGACAAACAGCCACTGGGAGAAAAAAAAAAACGTGTTATTCTTGGCTGCATGTTGAAGGTTTTAAAACCACAATGTAGCAAGCATTAAGTATAGTAATGCTAAGAGAAACACATCCAGCATGTTGTTTACTGGGGGAGAAGTCAAACAGCCAAAATTAAAGAGTGAGAAAAGCTGGCATGAAATTAAAACTCATTAAGGAAATATACAGAACGCATTTAAGTCTCAGAGGATGAAATTATCTATTTTGGTAAATATTAAGAGAAGAAGTTCCAGGAAAACAATAAAAAAATATATTATAGAACAAGATTTTTGTAATGAAACCACTTTCATCCAGACTGAAATATTTGTACAACTATTATGTGGATTCTAATGAAATTGTCCCCCAAGAATGATTCCTATTGTTTTGAGAAGGTTTCGACTTTAGCTGTTAATTAAACTCTTTTTCGTTCAGAATAAGACGGTAACATATCCTCTGATATAAGTAAAATAAAATTCCAAGAAAGCTGCACAAAAAGGGAAATGTTTTCGTACAGCTGGGCAGACATGACCTTATCTTCAGTCATATCTAAAGACATTTGTATGTAACATTAGTCTGTCCATCCATCCATCCATTTTCATTAACTTTTCCGAGGCCAGGTTGCGGGAGCAACAGGCTGAGCAAAGTGCTCTGGTATTAGTGTGTGGGGGGAAAAAAGAAGAAGGAAGCAACTTAATGTGAGCATTTAATATGATCAGTAGTTGCACTTGTGAAGATCAGCTTGTTGTATTTGGTTACTTTATGATTGTTAATTAAATACATGTACTGTTACATTTTTATCCTGAGCAGGAAGGAGTTAAACAAAAAAAAAAAAAAGTAGAAAATATCTTTGCTTTCCATTACCCATAGTAGAAAGATTTAATATATCCCAATACATAGTATGTGAAATGCAGTATGCCAAAAATTCCAGGATGTTCTACTACATCCAGTCTGATTTTTCAGTATGCAAGCCAACGTGCGCTTGTGGCTATTCTGACGCACAATGCTCCGTGCAGCGAACCATTCTTCACATCGACGAGCCGCTTAACAGATGACAGTATTTGTTTTATGTCCACAATAATGGATAAAAAAGCAAGAGGGTCAAAGTTCGGTGTGTAATGTAATGAGAAAGTAGCATGTCCTGATTGTGTGTATACAGCATGCGACAGGACGTACTTCTTTTTATATTATTATTATTTCTAATATCTATAAATGCATGTACATTTTGAGGCAATATCATTTTAGGTACATACAATTTATTATAATCACACATTAGCATTTACAACATGGTTTGTGTTTTTAGTTCTATTCCAGAGACCATATTAAAGTATATTACAATCTGTTTCACTTGGTTTTACAGGGGTAACATTAATGCTAGCTTCAATAGGCTTGCATCACCTGCACTTGATGTAATAACTGAGTTTTATTTTTTAAGTCAATAAACAAAGCATTTATTTTAGCCGTGACACACAACAAGAAAATTTCTCAGCTAGGAACGTGAGCGTCAGGGAACCTCACTTCTCGGTGTTATTATAGATCCCACTATTTTTTTTAGCAAGTCCTGCCCTAGCATGCTGTGATTGGTTAGAGCACAAAACGTTGTTGTTTTTTTTCTGAGCCTTTCACCCTCCCTCCAGTTCTCTGGCAGAGGAACAGAGCAAGGCCTGTGTCAGTGGGGCTTGGTGAAGGCTGCTTAGGGGCTGTGAAATAGAACCAGGCAGCTCAGAGTCGAGCCGGGGTCCATGGTGCAAGCTGGAGAATTACTGGGGCTAGGGAGGCATTCACAGCCGGTGAGAGGAGAGCTAGGGCCAACAGACCATGCTGGAGGTTTTACCGGGGCTGGAGAGGCAGTTGTAGCCAGGGAGAGGAAAGCCAGGGCCCGCAGAACATGCTGGAGGATTCACTGGGGCTGGAAAGGCAGTCATAACGGGCATGAGGAGATCTAGGGCCCACAGAGCATGATGGACGTTTCACCGAGGCTGGGGAAGTAGTCTTAGTGGGTGAAAGGAGAGGCAGGTCCCGCAGATCATGAGAACCAGAGCGAGGGAAGGTGGTCTGCTGAATCCATGCCCACGATTGTGGATCCTCCATCATGCTCTATAGGCCCTGGTCCTCCTCTCACCCACAATGACTGCCTCTTCAGCCTCCGGACCACCTTCAGATTTTTACACTAAACATACATGAACATTTTATAAAATATGTTTTGTAATGCATTAAACTTCCTGTGATGATGTCTGAAAAAGTGTCACAGCTTTGGTCTGAATCAATACTTTTGCATTGTCTCGCCTACCGTGGACATCTTGCCAATACAACACTCGGATACTTCCTGTGATGTGTCCTGCCGAGGAAAGCAGTGGGATCCATAATAACATCACTTCGGGGGGACCCTCTAGAAGGTTTCTGGTGACCTTTTCTCTAGCACTACGACAGGGTCCACATTCATGGCTGTGAGTCAAATTTCTCGACAGCCAATAGATGGATCCCAGTGCGACTTGGTACACATAGTGCTTCTCTCAGGATGAATTTAGCCACTTTGGTGATTTGGCTGAACAAACTAACCACATTCCAACTCAGACTTAGCTGAATGTTGTCTTTAATACTAAAGCTAGAATGCCTAGGTAAACTAAGTTGATGCACAAGGTAAACATTATACCTTCTTAGGTCAAGCATTTTTGCACTGCCATTGTGAGTTTGTTAGCATGTTGATATTAGTATTTAGCTCAAAGCACCAAAGTGCTTCTGTGCAGCCTCACAGAGCCGCTAGCATGGCTGCAGGCTCTCAGTCTTGTTTGTCTCTGATTCCTTACAGAAAATGTTTATGCACAACCTTAGGGGAGAATGGAGCTTGAAAAAGTGGTACAATGAAAAGGCAATGCAATTAAGACAAAACCTACCAACCATGACAAAAAAAACCTGAGTAATTATTCAATTAGTATATTTCAAGTCTTTGTAATGTAATTATATGCCCCAAATTCTCTATATTGTAACTTTTAAATAAGACAAACAATGCAACAAAGAATTAAGCAATATAGATTGACAACAAGCATTTTTTTCACCTGTTTACGTATTCATAACTATTCCACTGTTCTTACAAGTAAGGTCGGGGCAGGCAAAAAACATTTCCTGAAATCTCTGTTCTTTCGGTCCAAATTTCCAACACCATTTTCTGAGTGACCTCTGCTGTTGTTTATATTGTTCAATATTCCATGCATGGCCTGCTGTCTGCATTTCCCCTTTCTCTAGTCCATTGCATTAACCATTTTAAATGCATAATGCACAGGATTACTCTGCTTCCATCACCTGGGGAGGGGCTGTTTGGATTTTATAAGAACACCGTGTGAGAGTGCCGATCTCTTGATAAATCCACCAGTGAATGAATCTGCTGCTAATTGAAATTCAGCGGGTATACCTTCATCAAACCTGTTCCACTTCATACAGTAATTCTCATGGGAGTGGTGCTCCACTCCAACGTCCACTGATTATGAAAAATAGGATCTTCTAGAACTAATTCCTGGCAGGTACATAAGCCTTTTGATTATTTCAAGTGTGAGGAATAAACTCTTTGAAATAATACTTGTAGTTTGATATTCATGTCTGGTATACTCTCTGCGTCAGTCCCACAACTCATGTTCTTACACTGGTTATGAAAACTGTGGAACAAGTGCCTCATTTGCTGTCCCCTTCTTTTTTAAAAAAAAAAAAAAAAAAAAAAAGTTCTACATTGACAAAGTGTTTGAAGCCTTCATATTTGTGAAACTCAAATTTTACCCATTAGTCTACATTTATTTAGATGATTACTTCCCACCTATATGAGAAAATAACACATATTAAAGGTATTTAATTAAAAAATCCAATTACTTCTCAGTGTTCTCAGTGTTTTCACACTGATTATCTAAATTACTGCAACTGTGTTAATGTAATTATACTGTTCCCTGCTTGGAAAACAATTTGCATCCTATGTCTTCCTCAGTACCAGCAAACGTAAACTTTTGACATACTGTCTTATTACTTTGTCTTTATTTAAAAAATGTATGGCTGTGTAGGAGGAAAATAAATGAGGCTATCAATAAGATAAGTGAAAGCCTCTGCCAAAGAATCTAGTTAGGTTGTAATTTAAAATGATTATGAAGTTTTATAAGCACAAAAATAAGAAGCACTTAACTCCCTCGGTATCCTCCCCTAGTACATTGATTAAACAAACTTTATGCTGACAATGCATTATTAGCGATATTTCTTTGTCAGCATATCCCAGATAAATAACACAAAAGGTGGTGAGCAGTAGCAGTGACAAACAAAGCCACTGTGGCAATGTTGGCAAAAAGTTATCTGTTTATATCCAGCAGACACACAGCAAATTAAGAGCTCACTTTCAGTCATGTTCCTCGTCATACTGTAGTGTAAAACAGCTGCCTCTTGCAGCTGGACATGAAAGAATGTCAATATCCACATGTTCTTACTCCGCTCAAGCTCAGGGACAGCATGTCAATTACAGTTCATTCCATTCCAGTCTTTTCAAAATAAATTTCTGTAATCACAAGAAATTAAGGTTTTGTCACCAAAACTTCTTTACGTTTAACAACAAAACTGCTTGGTGAAGTTTAGAAAAAAGATCACCGTTTGGCTTAAAACAACTATATTTGTTACATGACAAGTAAGTTCATGATTATGTCACATGATGTTTGTGATGTATCTCACATGACACATAAAAAGAAAAAAAAATCATTTCACATGGGGGACGCAAACACCAGTCTCCTAGGTGAAAGTCCTGTGTTTGTTTACTGGGACACTTTGTTTGACTTGGCCTGTCAGCCCAGTGCAGCAGGGATTTGCGTCTCCATTACAACAAGGCTAACTGCTTATATCTTTAACTGATGGCAGCTTGTCTTAAGTGATGCTGTCTCAAAGCAGCAGGCTAAACTCTCCCTTTATTTTGCAGTGAGTGTTTTTCCTCACACAGCAGGGCAGGTAAAATAATTTTACCTGTTGGAGGTGAGCATTTGCAGAGGTGCAGTAAGAGCCTGTTGTCTGCAGCTCTTCATCTAACATATCACTGTGGCTGTTTCTGCTTTTATTCTTCCTCCCTGCTGTATTAGTTCACTTGTTTTAATTGAAAAAAAAGTTGCTAACAAAGTTGCAAACAGTAATTTGGCGATGAACACATTTTATTTCCTCTAGATTTTTCACAATTAAAGTCCCCTTTTACTTTGCTATGTAAAAGCTTTTATTGTGAAGCAGCATAATATGGGAGATATTGGGTTTTTATCAGCAGTAACTTAATAGACTCGTGTATGGCTGAAAGCGAACATGAAACAGTGAAATAAATCAGATATCTTAAGTACAAACCAAAATATGCAGTTAGTGGCTACAAAGTACTGAGAGCTGAACATACAAAGACTTGAAAAAACGCTTTTCCCTCCGGTGTCCTGCACAGATAATTGAGTTGAGCCTTGCAACATACAGGCTTGTCTCAGGGAGAGAAGGGGGGCTGGCTGCAGTCTGTGAAATGTCACTGCTACCTGCTTGGAGGTGGTTGGGCATGCTTTTGGCCCTGCTCCAGAGATGGTTCATCTCTGGCTTGGCTCAGCATGGCTCTGCACATCTTAAATGGTAATGGAAAGACAAAATGGTGTGGCATGGTTTGACTCGGCACAGCCAAAAGTGGTCATGGAAAACAGGTATTAATGGCACTGAGCCATTCTTTAAAAAATAGTTTTACTTGTGCTTTTCATTCTGACAGGTCAAAGTGTGTGCTGTAAAAAAAAAAAAGTCTACCTTCACTGGTTTTTGTCTCCACTAAAACTTAGTGACTTATCTGGCTCATTAGCTATTTGACATATCACCTCTTGCTAACTTTGTCTGTCTGTGGTTTGGCTCTAAACGTTAGCTTCATTTAGGGTCTGGCCACCTGACAATGTCAGTAAGTCCAATATTCACTCTCCTTTTAGTTCTAGTTTTCTCTCCACAAAATCCTGAGGGAAATATTAAGGACTTTTTCTGCCTCGTTTTTGGCTGTCTGCTGCTGGGTATGCGCTGCCTGTTGCTCCCTTTGTGTGTCTGTCACTACCTGTGACCCTTTAAAATTACATCTAGTCTACCTGATTCATTGTTAACATAAAAAAAGATTGATTATTGGAGCTTAAAGGCTGTTCGCTGGTTTCCTGACCTGGCTGTTTGTGAGTCAATCATCTTACCAGGTGTGAGGTCCATATTATTCTTGTCATTACAGCCCTGGAGGGAGTCCAGGGTACGGGTGACTTGGCTGGCAAACTCCTCGCCACCATTCATACACTCCCGCTGCAGATGGTGACGCAGGTCGGTAATGTCGTACTCATACCTGGGGGTGAGGTGGAAATCAATTAGCATTACATTATCTTGATTTATCTAAATTAGAATAAATATCACAAGCAGCTAACATGCTTGATGAAGCAGTCAAGATTTCAAAGTGTGACAGGATGTAATGATAAGGTACGGCGTTTTATAATCTTAATCCTCCAAACTAATTGCAGACTACTGCACTTAAAAATGAGTGTGCTGTGTGCAGGTTGCATCATATCAGCTGCTTTCTAGGAAGTAAATTTCAAACAATTATTACATCCCATTGCCAGTGTAAAATGTGAACTAACAAAACATCCACATATTTTTCATTCTGCTAACACAATTTGTTGACTTTCAGCCACTGCATGCTCTTTTTTTTGGGTTTAACCACTTCAGATTACATTCATCTCCCTTCCATCCAAACCCTGCTTATACCCATCCAAAATCGGTGTCTCCCGGATGCTGAGGGTACCGCTGGAGTTTGGCCCCTGACCCCTGGAGTTCCTCAAGCTCTCTCGAGCCTGGCCTCCCATTAGCACTGAGGGGATGTAGTGGATCTCATTAGCTGCCTCAGCGCTGGCGCTCTTTTGGGGCTGAGGGATACGACGACGTTTACACCAGCGCCTGCGGGTGTAGAGGATCAGTACCAGGCACAGGATGGACAGCAGAAGGGCGATCATCCCGCCCTGAAGGGAGGAGGGTGGCATTTGGAGCAGGGACAGAAAAAAAGGGGGAGAAAAGAAAAAAAACAGACAGAGAGAAGAGAAAGTCAAAGGGGAGAACAGATTCACAGAATCTTGCCAAGTCGAATACAGATCAAAGTCAAAGTCGTGATGCCAACAGCACAATTTGAAAGAGGTTGCAGATGCAATTTAGTGCATAACACCTACAGTGTTTCTGAATGACAGCAGCTCTCCTGCTACTGCGTGGTCATTTCACCTTGAGACAAAGTAAGAAATATTCAGAAAACAGCTTTTTACTAATTTCTACTTTCGGGCCATGTGGAATGTAAGGGTCAGCAGCTATAGACCACATCCTCATTGAAAAGTACTGAGGTTAATGCCCAGACTGTTAAAGGCATGGTTCCCATGTTTTTTGTCGGAGTAGTTACATGTATTTACTTGCTTCCTGAGAGTTGGATGGTTAATACCACCCTCATGTCTGTGTGATAAATATTGTGTGTAGCAAGAGCCAACAACTAATTAGCTTAGCTTAGCAGAGCCTTGAGCCAAATACTCAGAAAATACAAGTTTACCAAGTACCAAAAATATAGGGACTGAGCAATATTAGGAGTGATAGGGGGGTTATAGTTCCTCTTTTCTTTTCCTTTCTGCTCGCTCCCTCTCCTGTACGGGATCATGCAGATGTAATGCCAAAATAAGGGTTTCCACAATCTCTGGCTTTTTAGTCTCTGGGGTGATATCCACCTCACAATACTGAGCTAATGCAAGCAAATCTTCCTTCTTAAGCTTGTGCAACTAATTGCGCCCAAAATCACTTCCGCAAATCTCCTCTACCGAGAAAGTTGCCATGGTTAAACCAAACAGGCGAATCAAAAGAGACAAACCTCTCACAAAATTACCTCTAACGTAACTATTACCAAAATAGCCTTTATGACAAAACGTATAACCTGCAAATAAGAAGTAACACCTGTCATATTTCTGGTCTCATCCTCCTCCTGATCACGGTTAGTCTGTCCCTCAGCTTGCTTCATTGTCCTTGGGACTGGGAGCACCACCTAACGTTAACTGCATGCATCCACAGGAGGAAAAGCAAGCACATATTTTCTTTTAGTACAGCTTTAAATTCTAATGACTTATTGCAATACCTAGTAGGCTAGTTGGCCTCTTAAAAAGGACACCTAGAAGAAATACGCAATTTGCCAAAGCCAAACTGACATCTCTGTCATTAGCAACACAAGCAGCCACAGCCCGTCAACCAACACCGCGGCCCAACAGGTCGGTTATTTTGGAGCACTTTGCTGCCTCTTCTTGTAAAGATTTAAGTTATTTTATTCGAGTTTTTTTCCCCGCCACCCTTTCTTTTTACCAGCTTTATCCATGTTTTCTGTCTCACGGTCAAACTAGCCTGGTCTGCCATGAGTAATGACTGATGACCAGCGTTGCCAGGTGGGAAATGTAGGATTATCGTACCAGAGACTCAAAATTATCGTATTTTGAGGGAAATTATCGTACATCCGTCATAACCAAAAAATCAATCCCACTGATGCGCTATAGGCAATTATACAACAGTTAGTTTCGACCGAGTAATTTGATTGGACGAGAGGCATTCAGTGAGTGCTGATATAGAGTATAACATCACTGGGACATGTAACAGTAAAATCACTCCGCTCACAGGTGTTATAAATATAAATACAACCGTTAATTAACCAGCTGTCACACTCGCTACATTGACGCAAACTGACACTAGCGTTACACCAAGAAGATGGATATTTTCCCCAAAACTACATTTGAATTAAATTATGAGTGGTCATCAGGAGAGGACGAGGAAAGGGAAAGCCAGGACTCTTCTGTGCAGACCTCCAGGTGTGTTTGTATAACATCAGCCGACCTCGACAAACTGGAGAGGAGCAAAAATGAAGCGAACACGGTCAGGAATTATCAATGATCATCTGATGAGGTACTGATGAGGATGAGGGAGAGTGGAAGCTGAATCCGGCCGTGCCAACATCCAGGTTTGCCAGTGTTTCATCAGTCGAACTGGACGAAGTTACACAGTTGCAGATCAATGTAAGTTAAATACAAAGTAGCTTGTGAGTTCCTGGCGTGTGTGCTGCGTTGCCTGGCAATGGACTGGGGCAAATGTTTGTTTTCGCGGAGCTACATAACATACTTAAATAGCCTAATTTATTTCATCACCTTTTGTCAACATTTCCTTACTCAGCATTGCTGTTTAAGCTGTTGTTGACCTGTTGTATAAAAGCAATATCACATGAGAGCGAGTGATGTTGTAATGTAGGCTATATCGTCCCGAGCGTCCCGATGGCCAATCCACCATTGGACGAGACTGACAACTTCTCTCATGAAATGCCCGTGCGCATATGTTCGCTAACGTTACGTATTTTTTCTGTGGCTTCGCTCCACAGACTGGAGTGTGTCATTGAAGGAAATAAATGGAGGAACAAAAAAGAACAGCGGACTGGTTTGCCAGGCACGAGAAATAATACAGGTAGGCCAGCTTACCAGGTCCGCAGGCTAGGTGCATTCAGAGGCTGGTTAATCAGTCCAGGCACCGCCAGCTCCCGGTGAGCGGCGAGCTCCAAACGCCGTCCTGGCTCTTCCCGTTAGTTCAGTTTTTTGTAGCTAAAATAGATCCGAAAACAAACAAACTGGTTTCGCTCTCAAATATTGTCAGATATTCTGTGGCTTGGCTGGGTGTGTGTGGCTGTCATCCTCTTCAGCGGCACTTTCAAACAGGGCGACTCCTCATGACATGACAGCAAAACATTTTACTCTGCCGCGCTCACCCACCTGAATCGCGTCACCTCATTAACTAACTCCAGAGGGTGCGTGCGCACCTCAATGACAAACACACAGCTCAACCATACCTTTATTACTCAGTGGAAACCAGTCCAAAACGTCAATGAAAGACAACTGTAACTGCGGTAGCTAAATAATTCTCTTACTCTTGTGATCAAAAATAATCTGAAGCTTGATTCCAAGGCTGTTCTATAAATTGTTCTCTATACAATTATAAATATAGCAACTTCTGATCAACACAAATCAATTTCAGTCTTAAAATAACAACTTCTGCTTAGGTCTTACTATTTAAGCCACACCTTCTTCTGGTTTAAACTTCACCCACTCAGAGCACAGATATGGAAACATATGATTCAACTGCTCACTCATCCTTATCTTAGCACATAGGCTGGAAACAGGGACAGAACTTTTTCTTTCTTGAATCCTTACAAAAACCAGTGTTAAAATTACAAGCTGTGATTAAATGAAGGGGTTATGTGATGAACTATGTTTTGGCCGGGTGCAGTAATTTCCTGGAATCTCCACTGGTTGCTTGGCAACCTCATGGAGATGACAAGCCGTGGTGCATGGAGAGATCAAAGAGAGCTCAGTCCGTAGGTGTGTCTACACTGACATCTCACATTTCTTTGTCTTGTTTTCTGTGTATTCTGGGTATGACAAAGCCAAAGGGCACTAAAATACTGACTGTAAAATCAGACGATGGCAGATATTCATGTCCCACTAGATGCCTTAACCTGAGCCTACAGTCACTATACAGTCAGATGTTAGTTCTTTTGACCGGCTCAGGATCAGCTGTCTGAGATGAAGGATGTATAGAAAATTTCTTGGAGTGTGATTGGAGTGAGTTATTTCCATTGCTTGCTCTGATAGATGTAATCTCTGACTGCTGTGCAGATGGGAAACCTGTGTGCCAGAAAGTGTGTTGTTTCTTTGACAACCAAAGACCATTACCTATAGACCGAATCAATGTGACACTACGATAACCTAGACAGGTGTTTTTAGGTAGACAAGTGGCAATTGCAGAAAAATTGGTCCACGCTTTTGTTACCTCAAGGCTGGATTACTGTAACTCTCTATTATCAGGTAGCTCTAGTAAGTCCTTAAAAACTCTCCAGCTAATTCAGAATGCAGCAGCTCGTGTACTAACAGGAACTAAGAAACGAGATCATATTTCTCCTGTTTTAGCTTCTCTGCACTGGCTCCCTGTAAAATCCAGAATTGAATTTAAAATCCTACTGTTAACTTATAAAGCTCTAAATGGTCAAGCTCCGTCATATCTTAGAGAGCTCATAGTGCCATATTATCCCACCAGAACACTGCGCTCTGAGAACGCAGGGTTACTCGTGGTCCCTAAAGTCTCCAAAAGTAGATCAGGAGCCAGAGCCTTCAGCTATCAGGCTCCTCTCCTGTGGAATCATCTTCCTGTTACGGTCCGGGAGGCAGACACCGTCTCCACATTTAAGACTAGACTTAAGACTTTCCTCTTTGATAAAGCTTATAGTTAGGGCTGGCTCAGGCTTGCCCTGTACCAGCCC